CTGTGGAAGCTCAAAGCCACGAGATACAGAAGATTGCTCATGAAATCATAACTGAAGGTATGCCCCTCAATGAACAATTTCAAATTGCTGTTATAATTGACAAGCTGCCTCCTAGTTGGAAAGATTTTAAAAACCTACTCCGACATAAAACTAAAGAATTTTCAATCGAGAGTTTGATGACCCGCCTTCGAATTGAAGAGGAAGCTCGAAGACAAGATCAGAAAGATGAAGTCTTAGTTGTTTCAAACAACAAAAAGAAATTCGGTGCGGTTCTGAAGCCTACGGGAAAACCTTTAAAGAATCAGAACCGTAATACTGTGAACCAAATTAAGAATGGGAATCCCTCCAGGGCCCCATATACTCCAATTCCTATGCAGCAACCACCATCCCAGAGAAATGATGCTCCGGTTTTCACTTGCTACAATTATGGGAAACCGGGTCATATGGCTAAGAAATGTAAGAGCAGGCCTAAGTCTGCTACTGACCCAAATGCACAAGTTAACCTGGCTGATGATCAATTCATTGCTATGATCACTGAAGTCAACATGGTTGATGGAAGTGATGGATGGTGGATAGACACTGGCGCCTCTCGTCATGTTTGTAATGATCGTGCTATGTTTAAGACATACATGAATATTGAAGATAAGAAAGTGTTGTTGGGAGATGCCCACACCACTAATGTTGCTAGAATTGGAGATGTTGAGCTGAAGTTCACTTCAGGAAAGACCTTGATCTTGAAGGACGTCATGCACGTTCCTGAAATTAGGAAGAATCTTGTTTCTGGTTTCCTTTTAAATAAGGCTGGGTTTAGTCAAACTATAGGGGCAGACTTGTACACCGTCACTAAGAATGGTATTTTTGTTGGGAAAGGGTACGCCATTGATGGCATGTTTAAGTTAAATGTTGATTTGAATAAAATTTGCCCTTCTGTTTATTTTCTGCGTGATTTTAATATTTGGCATGCTAGACTTTGTCACGTTAATAAGCGAATAATGTATAATGCAAGCAACTTAGGCCTGATCCCTAAACTAAATGTCAATGATTCAAATAAATGTGAATATTGTACTCAAGCTAAGATAATTAAGACATCGCATAAATCAATTCTAAGAGAATCTGATCCCCTAGATCTTATACACTCAGATATATGTGAATTAGATGGAACTTTGACTAGGAACAGTAAACGTTATTTTATCACCTTTATTGATGATTGTTCTGATTAACTTATGTATACTTAATGAAGAATAAAAGTGAAGCACTTGATATGTTTAAGTTGTATGTAACCGAAATTGAGAATCAACTTAGTAAGAAGATCAAGAGACTTCGTAGTGATAGGGGAACTGAATATGACTCTGGTCTATTTAAGTTCTTTTATAAAGAACATGGAATTATACATGAAACGACTGCTCCATATTCTCCTGAAATGAATGGTAAAGCAGAAAGAAAGAATAGAACTCTTACTGAACTTGTCGTTGCAATTATGATGAATTCTGGTGCTGCACCTCACTGGTGGGGGGAAATTTTATTGACTGTTTGTTATGTCCTGAATAGAATCCCCAAGTCAAAATGTAAGATCTCTCCTTACGAGATATTAAAGAAAAGACAACCAAACTTGTCTTATTTGAGAACTTGGGGCTCTCTGGCTTATGTCAGAATTCCGGATCCAAAGCGAGTTAAACTCGCTAGTAGAGCATATGAATGTGTTTTCATTGGATATGCAGCAAACAATAAAGCATATAGGTTTTATGACCTGATAGCAAAAGTGATCATAGAATCAAATGATGCTGAATTCTATGAAGACAAATTTCCCTTCAAACTGAGAAATAGTGGGGGCACACAATCGAGTCACACTCTTGTGATAAGAAGCACAGAATGCAACGACAATATAGAAACAGAACTTCGACGAAGTAAACGAGTAAGAGTCTCTAAAGACTATGGGCCTGACTATGCGGCTTATAATGTAGAAGAAGATCCAATGAATCTTCAAGAAGCTTTGTCCTCTCTGGATGCTGATTTATGGCAAGAGGCTATCAATGATGAGATAGAATCTCTAGAATCCAATAAGACCTGGAACTTAGTAGACTTGCCTCCTGGTTGCAAACCAATTGGTTGTAAATGGGTTTTGAAAAGAAAACTAAAACCTGATGGAACTATTGATAAATACAAGGCTCGCCTTGTTGCCAAGGGTTTTAGACAGAGAAAATATAGATTTCTTCGACACCTTTTCTCCTGTCACTAGAATTACATCCATTAGGGTACTTATTTCAATAGCTGCTATTTATAACTTAATAGTACACCAAATGGATATAAAAATAGCTTTTTTAAATGGTGACTTAGAAGAAAAAATCTATATGGAACAACCAGAAGGGTTTGTAATCTATGGACAAGAAAACAAGGTCTGTAAGTTAAATAAGTCGTTGTATGGACTAAAACAAGCTCCTAAGCAATGGCATGAAAATTTTGATAACTTAATGATATCAAGTGGGTACAAAGTGAATGAAAGTGACAAATGCGTTTACTATAAATCTGAGAACCGCATTTGCACTATCATATGTCTTTATGTTGACGATCTACTCATATTTGGATCTAACATTCAGACCATTAATGATGTGAAATCATTGTTGTGCAACAACTTTGATATGAAAGATCTCGGAGAAGCAAATGTGATCCTTGGCATCAAGATCACGAGATCCAAACAAGAAATTTCTTTGGATCAATCACATTATGTGGAGAAGATCTTAAAGAAATATAATTACTTTGAATGTAAACCTGCATGCACACCATATGATCCATGTGTGAAACTATTTAAGAACACTGGAGAAAGTGTCAGACAATCAGAGTATGCGAGCATTATTGGCAGTCTAAGGTATGCCACTGATTGTACTAGACCCGACATTGCATATGTCATAGGATTGTTATGCAGGTTTACGAGTAGACCGAGTAAAGAGCACTGGAAAGCTATTGAACGAGTCATGAGGTACCTCAAAAGGACCATGGATCTCGGCCTACATTATCATAAGTTTCCTGTTGTACTAGAAGGATACAGTGATGCAGATTGGAATACTTTGTCAGATGATTCCAAAGCTACTAGTGGCTATATATTTAGCATAGCTGGAGAAGCTGTATCTTGGAAATCAAAGAAACAAACTATTCTAGCTCAGTCCACAATAGAATCTGAGATGATAGCACTAGCCACAGCTAGTGAAGAACCAAGTTAGTTGAGATGCTTGCTAGCTGAGATTCCTTTATGGGAAAAACCTATGCCAGCTGTGTTGATCCACTGCGATAGTACCGCAGCTATTGCAAAAATTGAGAACCGTTATTATAACGGTAAAAGACGTCAAATAAGAAGGAAGCACAACACTGTTAGAGACTGTATCTCTAAAGGAGCTGTAAGAGTGGATCATATACGCACTGATGAAAATTTAGCAGATCCTTTAACGAAAGGATTAGCTAGAGAGAAAGTCCATAATACATCCAAAAGGATGGGACTAATGCCTATAAAGAAATGAGTTGCTCATAATGGTAACCCGACCTAGATGACTAGAGATCCCAAGAAATAGGTTCAATGGGTAATAACAAGTTATGAGTAATATGAGATGATCATGCAAGTAAAGCATGAATCCTGAAGTAATAAGAGGATGAGATAATAGAAACTCTTAATGAGATCTATACTCTGTATGAGGGAGTACCTAGGCTACAGGAGTACTCTTGATAGACTCACCTATGTGACTGTGGAACTTAGGCTGGTTTCTATGGAATTACGAGGCAGGATTCCTAGAGCCTTCACTAAACCGGGATATACGTGCAGGGCCATTAAAGCACGGGCTATTAGAATACACCTTAAGAAAAGGTTGTGTGCGGGTCTGATGTCTGAGATAGAGTTCAAGACAATAGTGTCACTCTTGTTGAATCAGAATCCTACTTGCTACGCAAAGGTTCAAGTCGTAGACACCTTTGCTTATACACAATCTTAGAAACGTTTGACGTACTTCTAAAAATCACCTTTTAAATTCAAGTGGAGGATTGTTGGAAATCTTGGTATGATGTAAACTTGGAGTGGGAGTTGGAATAATTTATTGACATTAAATGGGCAATAAATGAGCACAAGTAAGAACTAGCATGGAAGTGAATTTGAAAAGATTCATTTTAGTCCCGAAAGAGTGGAAATTAATTAATATTAATATTATTATTAATTAATTAATAGATGGTGATGTGTCATGCACAAAAGACCAAGTCTTAACCTAATTATTGACTGGTTTTTGCTTGCCCTCCAAAAGACCAAGTCTTAACCTAATTATTCACTGGTTATTGACTGGGCCAATTCCACCTCTCCCACGATTTTCTCCCACTAGACCTGTTCCATTCATTTACCTTTTCACTTATAAATTAAGTTGTTTCGGTTCATTTGGGCAGTCCTAGAATTTTACGTTCAATTACAGTGCAAGTAATTGTCGCAATTGAACGGGCTGTTTTATCCTGGAGGCGTCGTCGAAACTCGACTGCTTTGCATTAATATTGGCAGTACGACGAAACGTCTTAAAGAAAGCGACCTAGTACGCGACTCGTCCCGATACTTTTCCTTTGTGCCATTTTTTAAAAAATCCGGTTTCTACAGTAATTAATTATACTTTACAACTCCAATAGAGACCACATTTAACCACGACGTTACTCAGACGGCCACAACTTAAAATCTTGTTCGTCGTAGGTATTAAATCACAACAATATTCAAACTCATACACCACTATAGCCTTCAAAAAATACAAAACTCCCAAGCAGCAAATTTCAAAAACATATTTCAGTGACATTTATTACCTTAATGGGGGAACATTCAAAACAGATAATTATTCAAAACTGTATAGCCGAAGATCCCTGAACCAGATATATATGGTTCTTTAACTATAGTTTAATTTAAATTGAACTAACTCTGTCTCTAAGTATGACAATGAAACCAACCATTCAGCAGCTAAGCCATTATTCAATACCAAGAACATGAACCTTCTTCAAACCTTCAGGTACTTGATAGCAGTATGAACATCCTTATCACCTCGGCCACTGAAGTTAACCACGACCTTTGTTCCGTTAGGAAGAGTTGGACATATTTTCTCAAGATAAGCCAAGGCATGTGATGTCTCCAGAGCTGGAATGATGCCTTCGAGTCGCGAAACTCTCTTAAAAGCTGCACGTACAATAAAAAAAATTACACATTGATACGTTTTGAGGAAAACCTTACTAATGATCAATTACTGGAATAATATAGTATGATAAGTTTTGAAAAAGTAATAGAAACGAGAGCTATAATTCACAAACAATAAAATCTCAATAATTATAATGCACAACTATGCCGATAGGAGAGAGTGGGAAACAAATCACGAAGACTTAAATTCACGCAATTTTCATATTATACCAAACATTTTCACGTATATGTTTAACCTTGTAAATTGTAAGCAACAAAGTCACGACAGTCCTACCTTCCAATGCTTCATCATCAGTGATGCTATGATATTCAGCACGTCCCAAGTCTTTCAAAAAGCTATGTTCAGGTCCAACACCAGGGTAGTCCAACCTACAAAACATTTTTTAAGGAAAACAACACAATCAGAACAACCAGAATTCGAACTTGGGTTCTATTAAGTAAATATAATCTAAGTAGATACAAGAAAGGTGATATCAAATTATCAATTTGAAGAAATACCCTGCACTAATAGAGTGAGGCTCGACTATTTGTCCATCAGCATCCTGCAGCAGATAGCTCATAGCTCCATGCAAAACCCCAATTTCTCCTTTTGTTAATGTAGCAGCATGCTTGCCACTGTCGAGGCCAAAGCCAGCAGCTTCCACACCAACTAGCCTAACATCACTATCATCAACAAATTCATGGAAAAGTCCAATGGCATTTGAACCTCCACCAACACATGCAATCAGAACATCTGGTTTCCCTCCCCATTTCTCCAATGCTTGTTTTCTGGTTTCCTTGCCGATTACAGCATGAAACTCTCTCACCATCATTGGATATGGATGCGGTCCAGCGACAGAACCCAAAATATAATGAGTTGTTTCAACATTCGTCACCCAGTCTCTTATAGCTTCGGAGGTAGCATCCTTAAGTGTAGCAGTCCCAGAGTGGACTGGTCTCACCTATATCACAAAATTCAACTATTAGACATGTATTGATGCTAACACGTAGAATACGGTAATAATTTAATACAAGAGATGTGATTTAAGGTAGCCACATGTGTCGGTGCAGGACCGACACACCTAACTCTTTTCAGGGAAATTTGCTACCATTTTTTCAACAAACAAGAGACAAAATATAGGATACATTAATTAAACCAAATGGAACAACAATAAAAACCGATATACCTCAGCACCAAGAAGACGCATTCTGAAGACATTCAGCGACTGCCTTTCCATATCCTGTGCACCCATATAAATAATGCATTCTAAACCAAATCGAGCACATACAGTAGCAGTTGCAACTCCATGCTGCCCAGCTCCGGTTTCAGCAATAATGCGTTGTTTGCCCAATTTCTTAGCAAGCAAAGCTTGAGCAACAGCATTGTTAATTTTATGGGCCCCGGTATGGTTAAGATCTTCCCTCTTCAAATAAATGTGAGGCCCTTCACCATTAGGCCTCTTGTAATGCTCCGTCAACCTTTCTGCAAAATAAAGAGGAGTCTCCCGACCAACATAGTCCTTTAGAATCCCAGCCAGTTCTTTCTGCAATTAAAATATCAATTTCAGAAGATTTCCATTATTTTTCCCTTCCGATAAACTGTTTTGATTACTGCCCAATAACAACCTATGTTCGAGTGTGTGTGTGTGTGTGTGTGTTATATAATATAGATCAATTATGTGTATGTTTGGTTTTGCGGTGAAAAAATTGATTTTAAGTGAATAGATTCTATGCTATAATATAAGATCAAATTCTAATTTCTATCTTCAAGTAGAATCAATTCTAGAGAAATAATCAATTCTACTTTAAAAGAACCAAACACAATATCATTCCAAAATCAATTATACACCTCTATAATTGTTTTTGACTCTTCCAACAGCTAAACCAAACATACACTCCGTCTGAAAGAGTTCTAAATTGTTGTTCTGTATGAAACAAAAAACGATAAACATTCAAATTATCATAAAACATCAAAGATTACTAGCATCAATAGGCCAAGAAACAGCAAGTAAGGAAAAAGTGAAGCTAACCATCAAAAATTGTAAATCAAACTAACAATGTCGAGTGCAATCTTACTCTCAGCTCAGTTTCAGGCTAATGGCTATACCCAATTTTCATGGCAAGCCAAAGAGGATTCAATTGAACAAACAAAATAGCATTCCAAACATATTTAAACAACCATTGCCCTCAGTGCCGCATTTCAACAATCAGTTAATGTGCAACACGAACCAAAAACAAAGTTCTAACACTAACAAACGAAACTCATTATTAGCAAAATCAACTAAACCCCACATTGCAAAAGAAGCAAATCAGTAACCAAATCCAAATAAACAGCTTCACAAAATCCGAAAACGTATCAATTCCCCTAAAAAACACATAAAAAAATTGATTTTTTTTACAGAACCTGAAAATCTTCATCAGCAGCAAGGGCATAGAACGAAGCTTCAAGTTCAGTAAGAGCATGCATAAGAGTTTCAGGAACATATTTCCCACCATACTTCCCAAACCTCCCAAACGAATCGGGTCTTAGAGGAAGAACCGACCCATTTTCAGCCTTGGTCTGATCCTGCAATGGAAGAACAGAGGAAGCATCTCTAGTGACAGAACAAGAGATTTTTGAAGGAAAAGATGCAAACTTTAAGGTGTTTGAATGAAAATTGGAAGATGGGTAGTTTTGTTCTTTGGAAATTGGAAGTAACATTGATGAATTGAGAGTTGAAATGGATGAAGCCATGTTAGGTTAGGTTTTTCTTTCTTCTATGATAATTGGATTGAAATTGATCTTGTTTGAAGGTTTATGGAAATTTATATGGACTTTTGGGATATGGAAATTTTGTCTATATGCTCAAGAAATTGAATGATGAAGAAATATTTTTACTTTTTATGGTATAATGATTATTTTGAATTTGAATTTAGTTTTGATACATTGTAATAAGACAAATAAAACATTTTTGGACATTATACAATTTTTTTTCAATAATTTTTTTAAGAAATAATTTATGAGGAGGAGATTGTAACATGTATGTACCATGTTCAAGATACAAAAGATTTCATGGTTCAAAGAACATTCACAAAAATCTTTATTATTATTTTCTAAAATACTAGAAAGACAAAATTAATTATAATATTGACCTTCATAATAATATGACTTTTTTAGGTATTATATTGTTAATGTTCAATGAATTATTTTACATTGCAAATTTGGTCCATGGAACTTGTAACTAAAAAAAAATCAATCTATGTGGTGTGTCAAATGTTTTTATAAACTAATTAAAGAAAAATATATTTTCTTTATTTTTTTTTTATTTCCTCATATTAGACATTAGAGATAAGAGATGAGAGGTTGAAAACATGAAATTATTAATTTTTGTATATATTTATTAAAAAGATGTTTACTAGACAAATTGCTTCAAAAACAACATGAATGAACAATATTTATTAAAAAAAAAAGAGTGTATTATTGAGATAGAAAATTTAAAAAAAAAAAAAAAAAACAAGAACCAACCATGCCAAAAAATTTCCACACCAATGAAACCCGAATTTTTTACCAACATACACCCCTTTTAACAACTATATTCCAATATACCACACATTTCAACAATTATTCCTAATATACCATCTTTTCAAAAAAAAATTTGAAATTAGGAGGTTCCGCACAATGGATGGGCGGATGGTCTTAAAAATACACAGCTTCCGCCCATTGCATTGGCGGAGCTGTGTGATCAACGTTTTTTTTTTTAAAATAATTTTAAAAATAAATTAAAATTGTTGTTAAATAAAAAAACAATATATTTTTATAAAATGAATTTGAAATATTCAATTTTAAGTCATTTTAATAAAATTATTAAAATATTAAAATTTTAATATACAAATAAAATTTATTTTAATGTAATTTTAAAAATAAATTAAAATTATTATTAAATAAGAAATCAATATATTTGTATAAAATGAAATTGAAATATTCAAATTTAAGTCATTTTAATGAAATTATTAAAATATTAAAATATTAATATACAAATAAAATTTATTTTAATGTAATTTTAAAAATAAATTAAAATTATTATTAAATAAGAAATCAATATATTTGTATAAAATGAAATTGAAATATTCAAATTTAAGTCATTTTAATGAAATTATTAAAATATTAAAATATTAATATACAAATAAAATTTATTTTAATGTAATTTTAAAAATAAATTAAAATTATTATTAAATAAGAAATCAATATATTTGTATAAAACGAAATTGAAATATTCAAATTTAAGTCATTTTAATGAAATTATTAAAATATTAATATACAAATAAAATTTATTTTAATGTAATTTTAAAAATAAATTAAAATTATTATTAAATAAGAAATCAATGTTAAAATATTAATCATAGAAAGGGTCATGTTATTTTATTATTGCAGTGCGGCTCCGCCCCTTCAATGGACGGAGAGTTTTATTCATTTTTATTATTTTATTATTTCAGTACGGTTCCGTCAGTGCGATGGGCGGAAGCTTTCGTAATTTTATTATTTATTTACGGCTCCGCCACGTTAATGGGCGGAGGGTTTTATTATTTTATTAATTTAAAATTTTTGCTGTGACCTATAAATATCGTTGATGTTGAATGATCCAAGCTACACTTAAATTATTTTTCTTTAGTTGTATCTTAAAAATGTCTTCAACATCCGGGGAGTTTTCAATGTTTCCATATATGAAAAGAGACGCATAACTTATTTTTTCTCCAGTAAAGCCTCCGATGAAGATCAAATTGTTGAACACGCAGACATTTGAGCATCTGCATAGGCACTTTGAGGGATGGTTAGGGGAAGAAATTGCCCAAGGTGAAAAGATTCGGAAAATAGAGAGGTTAGTTACGGTGCCTGGCTTAAATGGACCCACTCGTTCTTGGAGACTTGTTCACAACGACGCATGTGTTCTTATGATGATGCTTCAACAAAAAGATATTGTGTTGTTGATTGTAATATCCTAGAAATGGTTATGTCCTTGTTTGAACATGTTGATGTTGTTTACGTTTAATGTTGTTGCTAAGTTCTACTATTCGTCTCAGTATTTTAATTTATGTGTTGTTTTTTCGAATTGTTATTTATATTAAATGCAGAAGTATTAGTGAAATGAAACATAATAACTCGGCGTCATTATACATACAACTTTGCAGATTGATAACAAAATGAATAAATAATTATTACTAGTTCCTACATTGGGGCATCGCGTTCGGTTGTGACCTGGAAGACGACACAATGTGCATTTTCTCTCCAACTTATCATATGCGTCCATTTCTGTTGTAATACGGGTGCTCACGGGACGACCTTTCTTGTTCCTCCGCATAACTGAATTATGGCAAATTTGATCTCCCTCATAAGTGGGCCAATACTCATCGTATGGTAGAACTGGAAAGCTCGTGCTGTAAACCCCAAATAAGTTCGCAACCTTGTAAACGTCAGACAACAGAAGAAATGCGTCTTGGCGCACCACAGAACATGCAGCGATAACATGTGAACAAGGAACACGGTATGCTTGAAACTTTCCGCAGTCACACCATCCTTCCATTAGGTTGACCTTGTAACGCCCCAATGGCTTCCCCTCACCGTGGTTAATTGTCTCCTTCACACTGAAAGTGTTATTATTATAGTAAAAAATGCTTACCTGATGTGTGGCGGATTTAGACGTCTCTTCTTTCACCACCTTCACGCACCGTTCTGTAAATGTTTGTCCAGAATTCAAAACTGCACTCCACTTTGCACCCCTTTCAGCAAAGAGTGTTCCCATCCTATAGTATGTTGCACTTACTAACGATGTGATGGGAAGATTACGAGTGCCTTTAAATACAGAATTTAGTGACTCGACAAGGTTTGTTGTCATGTGCCCCCAACGATGACCCTCGTCAAATGCCCTCGTCCATTTTTCAACGGGAATTTTGTCTATCCACCTCAAAGCATCACCATTAGCCATCCCAATTTCATTACGATAATATTTAAATGTTGGTTGGTTCAGCGTATACCCTACATGTTAAAAAAATATTTGTTAATATAATGGTATACTATTAACGAGCATGTAATGTTTGCATAAAAAGTACTTACCCATGTTGATTATTTTTTTTCGGAGGATACGGTCCTTGATATCCTTCATAAAATTTTGCGCAATATGCCTGATACAATACACATGGACAGATGTAGTGTTATTCCAACCATTTTCAGAATTGTTATAAGCGCTTTCGATAGATGCATGTCGGTCAGAAATCAAACACAAGCCAGGTTGAGGAGCTACATGCATTCTCAAGTTTTTTAGAAAGAAACCCCAACCATCCGCCGTCTCACCTTCCACTAAGGTAAAGGCAACTGGGAAAATATTGTTGTTTCCGTCTTGTGCTACAGCCATTAGTAGTGTACCTTTGTACCTTCCATATAACCAGGTACCATCAATCTGTAGTAAAGGCTTGCAATATGCAAAGCCACGTATGCATGGTTGGAAAGCCCAAAATAGTCGGTGGAAGATTTGTTTCCCAGCAATAATAGTCCCGTCATCTGTATATATCGGTAATGTTTGTATTTCTACTACAGTGCCTGGAACAAACTTCTTAAGGGCCAACAAGTAATTTGGAAGTTCATTGTATGACTTTTCCCAATTACCAAACACTTGTTCGATTTCTTTGTTTCTAGCAATCCATGCCTTCTTGTAAGATGGAGTGTATTTGAAAAAAGAAACAATTTCGTTAATACATACACTCACCTTGATGGAGGGATCCTTTTCAACAAGAGGCATTAATCGTTCACTCATCAGTCGAGAGCTTAGTTGTCGATGATCCTAATTAAAGATGGTCGTTGAACAATTATGTGGGGGCTCCATGATTCCTATCTCCCATATGTCGCTCCTTTTCCTATAGGATGCCACTAGACGAAAGTTGCAACCACTTCGCTTACAACAAATTTTATATCTCTTCGTGTCAGAACACGTAACCTTGAAATCAACGACATGTTTCATATGGTACCTGGATATCGTTTTTGAACTGGTTCCCAACAGCTATGTCATCCTCCAGCGGAAGACGAGGATTTTTGGGCCATTGAAAGGATGATTCGTCTCCAGCTGTATCCAGAGTTGTCATGTGGGCGGGTGGACAATAGACATTCTCAAGTGGAATGTGTTGTTCAGTTTCGTTGATTGCATCCGCCTCGTCACGTCCACCGTCTTCAAATAAAGTAGTGAACAAATCATCAGCTTGTGACTCAGTCTCCTCTTCTTCGTCATCTTCGACTTATTTATTATGTGAACAATATTTAACAATATTTAACTATTACATTTTTTTAGATGGTCTGCTTATGGGATGGATTACGAAAAGACTCCTCATCATTGTGCACCTGGCTATCGGACTTTCATCGATCATTTCGAAGAATATGATGTAATATTCTTAACCATATTTTAAGTATTACATATTTTATATGGTTCGTTAAACTAATAACTGATTTTTTTAACAGTTTACATGGAGGCCCTATCTGGGACTTGATGATACCGATCCGACCGATAGTCACGTGTGGAGTGCAAAAACATTTATCATATGTTTTACTACTGTTGAAATGCACCATTCTGATCGGGTAAAACTTCAATTTAGCATTAAGCAAGGCATACCGGATGCTCCACAGTGCATGGAGGAGTATCACAAAAGTGTGGTGAACGATCAATGGGCATATAGCAATTGGAAAGATTGTTACAAGCAGGAGCGTCGTCAATG